TATGTTATTAATAATTATTATATTAATTATTATTATTATGAATAATAAATAGACTTTTTTTAAATATAACGCATATTAATTTCATAGTTCTGCTTTAAAACTTCATGCTGCAGGATGTTAATGATATTGTTGGATTCTCGTAGGCAGATTGAAAAGATATTAGATTATTAAAATATTGTCCGTAATTCCTTAAATACAATCTGTATAGTAGGCCTTAAGCCCTAAGCCTTTAATAAGCCTTAATAAGAAATTGAAGAATTATAGATTATTCTTCTTATATTTGTCTGTAACTGATTCCTTAAAGCTTAAGACTTATTGCATCTATTGTGGCTTGGATTAAAAACCATTACGCTTAAATGCGTGTAAAAAATATTGTCCGCGAAGACATCACGCTTAAATAGAAAAAGAATGAGGTGTAAAAAATATTGCCCATCGAGACATCACGCTTGAAAGCGTGTAAAAAATATTGTAAATATGTATAATATTTATATAATTTGTTTAATTTAGTTTAATTTGTGCGCTCGAGATATCCTTCCCATTTTCTCCTTCCCTTCACACATATATAACATATAAACAGGGAAATGTAAAAAATTACATTTTTTTAAATGATTTTAAGCAATTATTTGTTAAATTACAATAATTAAAAGTTTTTGTGTTTGTCAATATTTGTATTAAAATTATATACTTGAATACAAATATTTCATATAAATATTATAGTTATATTAATAGATTAAATGTAATTTTTTACATTTCCCTCCTGATGGAAGAGACCATCACCTTCTCGCGGTTTCCGTCGAGCAACAATATGTACATATATGTATATGAATAGAAACTTCAATAAAAGTGAAAAGAATAAAAAAACTGTAAGGTATAATTCAATAGTAAATCCTAGCTGTGGTAATATTTTTCGCAATAAGTTCTTTACTAAATTAATTTAGGGGGGATTATTTCGTATTATATGTAGGAATGTTCGAATGTTTCGGCGCCCCTCATCGTATTTATATTA